CATATGCTATCTATGGTGGCAGTAGAATACAAAAATAGGCTTATTTTTGACCTGGAGTGAAAGTGATTTAACTGTCAAGGGCCAATTAGAAGCATATAATTTCTTCCCGGGTGAGACCACGGGGAGGAGCAATATATTAAAGCCTACATGGCCTGAATATTATGCGTAACGCCAACGACAGGAAACTAAAGCAGCACCAAATCCAATTCAAGAGGTCAGCAAGGAAAATATAAATGACATACTGCAATACGTTAAAACATGGCCAGTCTGGATAAGACTTTAACTTCAGCACTAAATTGATTAAATGTAATTGGTGCTGCTGAAGCTAGAATCCCTCTCAAAAGCAAAGTCTTTCAAGAGTGATTCACATCAAATATGATGTCCTGCCGTCCTCACCCATCTGTAAAGAGAAGTACAAAAAAAAAAAAAAAGAATACAAAATTAAGACAGGCCACAACCCATACCACAACACACAAACCAACATAAACACACAACACATAAACACAAAAACTACCCTACCATAAACCACCCTAACCACATACAAGCCAAGCACCACAACCACCCAACAGAATGCAAACAAAGAAACACTATCGCCGGCCGCGACCTGCGTCCTGCGTCCTGCGTCGGCGGGGAAGTCCCATGGAGGTGGCCGGGAACAGCGTCTGATGCCTGGCTGGAACAAGAAATATTTTGAGCAACGAGCCAACACAAAGCAAGTAACGTTCAGAGAGAGGGGGGGGGGCGGTGGCGACGCTGGTGACGGCCGTTGAGGTGGTAGCGATGTCCTGCGACCTCGCGCTCCTCCGCTGGTCCTGCAGGAGTGCCCGGGGTGGTCCGCCGAGCCCCGCGCCAGCCCCCGGCAAGCGCAGCCTCCGCCCCGCTCTGCCTCTACCGCAGAGGATGGTTGCAGCCCAACGCTTTCGCCCCGGAGATGGTCAGCGCGGAGGAGCAGCCTTCGACAGCAGCCCTCGCTCTGTACGCGACAGGGCCTACTCCGAAGGGTACAGGCGGATAGTTCACAGGGCGCCCCCAAACCCGCGGCAGAGAGCGCGGCGGGGCGGGGCGCGGAGCAGGGGCGGGGCGGCGAAGGGGCGTGTAGCACCCCGACGACGCAGTTGTCCTCGGCGCCCGGCGCGTGTCCTGGCCGAAGAGTCCTGCGGTGCGGGCAAGTCCCACGGTGGTGGTGACGGGAAGGGCGCAGCGGCGGCGGGTCTGAAACAGAAAAGGGCGTAAGATATATGGAACCACACAGGGCAGCGTGCTAACAGAACTGGTACAGCGATCAACGAACACTCACCTTCTCTGAACGACGTCCGCGGTCCACGGGCTGTAGGAGAAACCCTAACCCTTTCCCCATTTATTTAGTTCGAAAAACATCTTTATTCAAATCTTTTTCAGACAGGTAGAATATAAACAAAGTAGGCTAAATGTTGGAGCAGGCCGTCCCTCCTCGACGCGGCGGCGTAGTGG